AGAAAACCTGTGATTGAATCAGATCCTCCAAGATGGAAACAGTTAAGGATGTATCTGCCCTTGCAGTAGACAAAAGCATAGGTTACCCTTCTAATCCTTCCCTGAGAACCCTAAAGGATTCTTCACCATTTTCTAAAGGTCCCTTGAGACTATGGATCATGGCATCTTTGGGACTTCTTTGTGATCTGGTATCATAGAGCTTGTCTTACTCAGGAGGCAGTTTCTGGGTTTATATAACCAAATCAATATCCTGATGAAGAAACAGATTCAAAGGGGGAGTGACACAGAGTTGTACACCTGTAGCCAGCCCATCTTGTCTGCTCACCCCAGTTGACTGATGACCTTAAAGGTGGACATTCTTCTGCAGAATGGTCTCACATAGTGATGGTTAAATTCAGTATGAGACTCCAGATAGGAACTTGGTCAGCCAAAACAACACTTGAGGCAACTGTGTTTTCTGTGCCATTGACAGCAGCTGGATCATCCTTTGATGTCTCAAGCCTGGGGAACTCATTCTGTGAAGGCATTTTTCCAGACTAAAGGCTCTGATGAATGTTTGCCTAGCCTGGAAGCAGCCACAGCCCTGGGCTTGCTCCACATGCCCAGCTATGACTGTTTGGCCAGGCCAGAGTGCAGGTGAAGGAGGCCATTTCTGAAACAGAAGCATGATACTGAAGTCTAGAATGCCCAGCTAGGCACTTAGCATGAGTTGAAATCCAGGGAGAAAGTCGGGGCTAAGGAACCGGAGAAGCCTACCTCCAGAGTGGCTGGGGCAACATAAAGTACTGTCAGGAGCTGGCATAGTCTTAGAGTGTTTTTCTTCAGTCACTAAGATAGAATGGATGCTTTGCAGCATACTGAGTGAGAGAAAATATTTCAGGGTCACTTGACAGGGAAGGGTTCACACTGTTTAGGTGACAGCCATGGATACTTGTTAAGACCTTCTTTAACTAAAATTATCATATATTCTATAACAAATATTCTTGCAGATAATTGAGACATTTTGTTGTTGTTCTGGGTCTCAGTGAATGAGGAAGTGTTGACGGCCCAAAGTTGCAATATGCGCTGTGTTGTATGGGATTCTCCTACACTGAAGAAGTAACACCCTAAGCCCTTAGTACCCTCTTTAAGAGGCACTGGTAGGAAAGGTTTAACCAGGAGGGTCCCACCATTTGAATGGTCAGTAAAAACTCTTTAACTAAAATAAGCAACTGGTTATAAATATATCACATTAATAGGTTCGGAGGTGAGGGGATTGAAGTGTCTGAGAGAAACAATGATCAAAGAAGGCTGGAGTTTAACAGAAAAGGACATTCACATGCTAACAGACCTGCAGAGGGTCTCAGAGCTTTGGGACCCAGGATAGACTCAGGAGCATAGAAGGCAAAGAGTCTACATAGCAAAATCTAGGCCAGTCTGGGGCCTTACTGAGCTGTCTTCCTGTACGTTGATACAGTTGCATTGAACACATTCAAGTATGTCCTGTTAAATTCTCCTTTGACAAAAGAACCAAATGTTCTTTTTATTTTCACTCTGCAGCTTTTCCTGTTTCAGGCAAGGAGACTTTTCTGTGAGGGCTTTCTCTCTAGACATGTACAGGTCCATGGAGAAGAGAGCCCATGTTGATTGTGGACTCTGTGGTCAATAATGTTACTACAGACCTTCTGACACCAAAGCCTACGAGTAGACCCACTTCCCTTAGGCTGTCTCCTGGGGGAATGAGTTCCTTCCCAAGACCAGGGACTCTTGACAGCAGTTCTCTTTGCCAGCTTCACTATGCCACCCTCTCCTTGTGCAGATGTATTTCAAAACATGTTTGCAAGTATAAAAAAAAAAAAAGGACTGGTTGCCTTGAGCAGGAAGGAACGTAATGGCTTTCTCATCACTCCTCCAATGACTCACAAAAGCCCAGGTACTTTTGTGAGATGTGTGACTATTTTTGTAGACAGAGGAGGTAAGACATCCAGCCAGCCTTAGTCACAGTGATGGCCAAGGTCAGAGCCAAGCTTCTGCGTTCCTGCGCTCTGAGCTCAGTACAAACTGGATTTTGACGTCTTTGCAGTCACACTTCCCCACACTCATAATCTCCTTGAGTTGTGGATCTGTCAGCAGTAAGAGATTTTCAAATTAGAAACATTTAAGGATTTCAGCCCAACTAAACGTTGTCTTAATTATTTCCCAGCAAAACTGCAAACTCACAGAGACAAATAAGTACACAAATAACCGTGATGCAGAATGTGAGACGTGCCCTTCAACAACCAAGGGAGACAGTCAGGAGGAAGTGCCCAGCAGCCTGAGGGAAAGCACACACCAAACCCCAACATTCTGATATGCATGTGTCAGTGGCAGAGAATATGTGTGGGGGGGGGCACAGAGACCTAGACTCCAGGAAGCTCTCTTTCACAGGCACTGGGTTCTTAACCATCTTTCTCCAGGTAGGAGTATCAGAGGGTAGGGCCAGGGCAGAAAGTGACTAAGAGAGTTAGCTACTAAACAAAATGCACATCTCATCTGGTTTACATTTAGCTGGGAAAATAAAAGTACCCATTTCCATCTGTAAGGTACCTGTTAAAGATGGCAGGCATCCACAGCTGGATGGTCGGAAAGTTTCTGTTCACTGAGTAGACTGCAAAGGGTAAGGAGACTCCTTTCCTAGTCCCAAGACCAAATCCTGAGGGGCTCTCGATAGTCTATGCCTTCCCTCCCTGAAAGAGTCCATGCCAGTTAAAAACCAAGAGATGGAAGACAACATAGATGAGTGGTTTCTAGGGTCTGGCAGAACTGCTCTGGGATATGAGAGTTCTTTTGGTGGTTGTGAACATGTTCTAGAATTGAATACTGGGGATAGTCCACAATTTCACAAATAGACTAAAAGTTATTTTAACTGTATAATTTAAGGGAAGAAATTTTGGCCTGAATCAGATATGACTCAGTGTCTAGGAGCACTGACTGCTCTTCCAAAGGGCCCAGGATTGATTTTTAGCATTTACATGGCATTCCACAACCATTTATAACGCTAGGCCCAGGAGGATTCAGTGCCCTCTTCTGGCTTCCAAAGGCACCAGACACATATGTGGTACACAGACGTACATGCAGACAAAATACCAAACACATGAAAACAAAATCATAAAAGGATAAATTTATATCATATGACATCTCAAAAGCTTTTGCTTGTTAGAAAGGAACAGACTGAAGCTGTGTGTATGGTGCTATAATCCAGCCTTTGGGAGGTGAAGGCAAAGAAGATTTGGAGCTGACGGTCATCCTTAACTTCATGGCAGCCTAGAGGCCAGCCTGGGGTACATCCTTTCTCAAAAAAGGAAAGGAACTGTCCTTTAGCCAACTATATCATAGAGGGAGAAAAACAGATAACTAGAAGTGTCCTTTACTTGTTTCTGCTTACAGCGGTCTGTTTCCCTCCAAGGCTTAGCTGCTATTGCAGCCAAGGGGCTCTGCTGAAGAGGGGCACGTTGAGTGCACTATGCCTCCCACCTTGAGGGTTCCTGGAACCCGTAGCATTCCTTTCTCTGAAGCTTGTAAAGGACCCTCTGAGGCCAAAGAGTCCCTGGGAAAGGGACACAGTCTGCTTACTCTCTACTACCACCTGAGCAGGTTGGTGTGAAGTAGCTAGACAGTCACTAGGCAAGGCCACCAATAAGAGAAGATGACAGCTGACTCACCTCAGTGACATACCTAAAGATATCTGAACAAAGTTCCAATAGCCTGTCCCTATAGACTGGTGTAGAAGCCCTCCTGATGTCTCTGAAGGGACAAATCAGCCTCACTCTGCACTGACCTTAGAGAGATGGAGGTGGACTGTACTGACCTCCTGATCAACTAAGGCTGTACCTCCGAGCAACCTTGGATGGGGGCTCATGTTGACTCTGCCACTGCATGAGGAGGTCATGAGCATTTCTGAATCAGGAGGTGAAGTAGTGATGGATGTGAGCCAAGACAGCTCTCCTGAGGAAGAGCAGTCCTGTTCAGGAGACTTCATTTGTTTATATGAAGCCAGTCTCAGATGCCAGGGGTAAGGTGAAGGCCCTCTAAAGACTACCAAAACATAGCCAAGAACTCTGCCCTGTGTGGGCAGTGGGTTAGAGGTCTCTTCAGTTATTTGGGGATGAGGGACTTCTTTACAGGGAGGTTAAATTACCCTAACTAAGAGAAAAAATAATAAAAAGAGAAACCACCACCATGGCTTCTTAAGCCATTGGTAGCAATCCTGTAACTGGATGTGGGAGTTACAGGGCAGCTTGATGCTGTGCCCATTTAGCAGATTAATAGGAATAGGCTCACCTCTGGAGCCTATGAGCACCTCAACCTTAGGTTCTTGGCCAGATTTCCAGTACTGGGCATGTGTTTCCTTGGGTGCAGAGCAGGCCTTGAATCCAGTCAAAGCAGGTAGTCAATCTTACATTCATGCCACTACGTATCTGTGGGCACCTCATATTTCTTTATGATGCACTATCAGTAAATGTTTGGTTTGTGTACCTATTTTACATGCCTGTATGCTTGGGATCAGTAAAGAGATGTCTAGTGAAAGGGAGTCTGGGGTGGGAAATGTCTAAGATGACCTGTTCTCTCTTCTGCATTAAAAGCAGTGATCTAAGAGGCCATGATGGAGACACTGCCATTCTCTTCTGCATTTAGAAATGTGTTTGCAAAGATCATTGAGTTAAAGACAAAAACCAAACCACATGGACAAAGTTGTGCCTAGGTAAGGTGCCCAGCTTCTTCCATGGTGGCAGCAGAAGACAGGGCTCCATGGGTGTGGAAAGAAAGATGGAGACCCTGGCTCTGTGAAAGATGTCTCCCAAACACACAATTTACACATCCCAACTTCAGGGATCCTGACACACTGGAATTCCTAGTAGTGTATAGAAAGGTCAGAACTCCCCTGAGACTGGTCTGAAGCTTCTACAATAACTTTGTACAACAGCCTTGACTCTACGAGACCGTATTCAAAGCCACCTGATCCACCTTGGCTTTTCCTCCAGATGGACCTATCATGACTTCTTCAACCGGTACCGGGTACTGATGAAGAAGAGAGAGCTCACCAATACTGACAAGAAGAATATCTGCAAGTCTGTCCTGGAGAGTCTCCTCAAGGTGACCCAGCCATAGGAGGGCATGGACCAAAAGCCCCAATGGTAGAGGGTGAGGGTAGGGGCGACTTACAGCTCGGTTCTCATCCCTGCTAAACAATTAAAGATATTGAGCCATTTCTTAGAAGAGACTGGGGTAAAAGAACTCCCTTCCCTGCCTATAGCATCCCCTGCCTTTCCACATCTCAGCACACAGGGAGCAAGGATCACTAGGGTGTGTAAGGAAGCAACCCCTAGGGGTGGCTGCTGCTGTCCATCCCAACATCTCTGGCCTCTCAGAGCTGAAGTACCGAGTGGAGGTCTGATCTGTAACCAACCTTGGCTTGTTATAAATGAAGCAACAGATATTCTTAGGCCTCTGGAAAAAAATTGTTTTAAATGAAACAACCCAAAAAATCACATTTTGAGGCTAGAAAATTATAAAACTAGATCCATGAGGGGCAAACCCTTAAATAGTCTAGTACTTCTTGAGAGTTCCAGAGGTACAGTAGCGTATAATGATCTATGTCTCCATGAAATGTTAAACCATAGAAAATATCCTTCAGAAGGTGATAAAAATTAAACATGTTTTTGCAAAATAACCAGTGAGGGTGGTACTTAAAGAGTGGTAGTGTAGTTGGTTGAAAGTTGTGCTTGGTCGATGGGACTCTGGTTAACCATGGTTTTGTTTTGGTTCATCCATCAGCATACATGTGTTGACACCTCATTTTTCATGGGTTAAAGAAATGTGTTCAAGCTCAGCTGAGTTCAGTTACTCTCTAGCTCTGGGAGTTCCTTCCTTGTGGGTGTCAGGGCTGGCCTCATGGTATATATTCCCCAACCCTATGAGTAGCTACCTGACTGCCTTTCACTTTGTCCACCCTTACCTGCATCTCTTGAAGGTTATTAGCAGAACCTTCTTCCATCCCCAGTCAAGGGAAATGACGTACAAGAAGTGACTGTAAATTGCTTAGGGTTGTTTCACAGGCAGTCAATGCACAGTGCTTACTTATGTGAGGTGATTGGTTTGGGCCACTGTGCACAGCTCTCTGTCCTGGAGATAGGCTGCTCACTTGTGCTTCAATCAAGACTTCCCCAGAGATACTGTAGTTCTTCCCCCATTTCCCCCCATTCCTTAGGCCATGTCTTCCAGAATCAACATTCCCACTGAGTAGGACTTTGGCTGAGCCATAGGTTATCCTTGAAGACTATATGCCTGGTCCTTCGCTCACCAGAGTGTTCTGTATACTTAGGAATAGAATAGTCAGAGGGGCCATGGGGAGCAACAGGGCTTACCAGCTTCCTTTCTGTAAAGAGAGGCTGTTTGTTGGTAGACACTTCATTAGGCCACTGCTGAAGGCTTGACAAACCAGTGTAGCTAGTAAGAGGGGAGATGGGTAGTCTGATAGATTCACCCCCTCCAGGGCTTTCAGAATGCTTTCCTACCCTTAACCTCATGCAGCCTGTCCTATACTCTCTGAGTCTATACTGAGTTCCTTCTCTGCTCTAGTCAGGGATGTCCAAAAGGAAAAGTATAAAATGCCTCACAGACTTGCCTGCAGGAGGTATTTTCTCAAACAAGGTCCTCCTTTCCATGTAACTCCAGTTTGTGTCAAGCTGACAAAAACCAGTCACCATGGTGTATGACAGAACTTGCTCCTTCCTGCCTATGGCCTTCATGCCAGCACACATGCTTAGATGACAGTTGTTTGCAAAGAAGTCTCAGCCATCAATGGATTACTCTTCCTAAGTTTGTCCACTAGTACCCTGCTGGGTCATGTCTCCTTATTGGGGTGAATACTAGAAAGGGAAACTAATTCTAGTACTATAGATATAGTTAAGACAGTGATTATATGTTTGGAGGGAAGGTTCATGGTAGAGTTTTATTTGAATGTTTTTTGCAGTTTATAATTATTATATGAACATTACTGTGATCGTTTAAGTAATTGTCCAGTGATTACTAGACAAAGTCATTGCTTCCACAAAGGCCTTGAACCCATGGCTACCACCCTCATTTCGTACCACAAAGCCTCTGGTGGCTGGTTCCTTCCCATACTCACCTTCAATTCCCTGTATGTAGCCCCCTCCTGACTCTTGGGAGCACAGGAAGGTGGCGTCTGCTCTGCCCTGCTCTGTTAGAATTCTCTGTTCTCACCTCCAATGGCTGTTCCCTTTGGTTCACACAGATCTTTGCCCACCTCCATAGGCATAACAGCCTAAACCAGTGGTTCTCAACCTGTGGGTCATGGCCCCTTTAGGAGTCACACATCAGATATCCTGTATATCGGATATTTACATTATGATTTGTAACAGTAGTAAGTTTGCAGTTATAAAGTAGCAGCAAAGTAGTTTTACAGTCGGTGCTCACCACAGCGTGAGGAACTATATCAAAGGGTTGCAGCATTTGGAAGGTTGAGAACCACTGGCCTAGAACACCCTTTTTTAATATTGCCTATTTGTTTTGCTTGCTAATCCTCCCCACTCCTTAAAACAAAGTTCCCTAGTTACTTTTCTATCTGCCCTCCCTATGGTATTGGACTTTTGAGGGCAAGTATCTTTTTAATGGCCATATCCGGGGTCCATGCCTGTCTTGTCGTGAAGATTCAAGTCTGCTTTATGAATATTGAGAGTCTAGGTATAACTACTAGACAGAGGGCAGAGGGGAAACATGGAATCTGGCAAGTAGTTCTGCCTTGGAAGGAAAGAGTAGTATTCTGTGCACAGTTCACTAACCAGCCAGTTTCCCTCCCAACCTTGTAAAGGATCCAGACAAGTTCCAGTTTGGCCGCACCAAGATCTTCTTCCGGGCAGGCCAGGTGGCCTACCTGGAGAAGCTTCGGGCAGACAAGTTCCGGGAAGCTACTATCATGATCCAGAAGACCGTCAGGGGCTGGCTGCAGAGAGTGAAGTACCGTAGGCTGAGGGCAGCTACCTTATCCCTGCAGAGGTTCTGCAGGGGATACCTAGCCCGCAGGTGAGCCATGATGGGGTCCATCTGGAGTCAGGAGGAAGGGGAGAGCCTCTTTGTCTGGAATTATAGTGCTTCCTCTTGGGCCTATCTGCTTCTTATATTGTTCCTAGTGGTTGTGTACATCTCTGTAATGCCCTTCTTGCTTCAAGGAGCAGATCTAGCTCATGCGTCTCTGGATACCCCCATCTATCCCCAGTCCACCGACACTAAACCTAGTACTGTCTGTCTAATTTGGGTACAAATCAACCATTTCTCCTTTACCTGAACCCCAAAGTAAAAGAATGTCTTTTAGGAAGAGATGAGTCTAGTTAACTTGCATGTAATCTCATTGTTTATACTAGAATTTCCCTTGAATTCCAGTTGGTGCTGGAAAGGTATGGGGAAGCTCTTCTATGAATTACCCTGCACCGAGACAGCAGAAAAAGGATACGTCTCATCCAGCCATAGCAGCTACGGTGCAATAGAGCCAGCCAGGCTCCCTTCCCTACCCAGTGCCACACAAAGGGAGCTACTGTCACCACTCTCTGCCCGACTGATGGCCCTTGGCTGGTGAATGGTAGAGTGGCAGAGGCCATCTCCATTGAGGCGTGTGTAAGATGTCACCTCCTCCTAGGCCTTTCCAGGGTTTTCAGATTGAGATCCCTCTGCCTCGCAGCCGGACTCTCTCCTGTTGTCCTTGGAGAAATGGTGGAAATTAATGTGAAATCTTGTGGTTCAGAGCCAGTTTCTCAGGTAGCTGCTCAACCCCACCTCCAGAGAGACAAAGACCCCAGCCCTAAGTCCCATATAGGCTTGTTTTGCATGGTAAAGCTGGAAGTGCTGCCCTTGCCACCATGCTCACTGACCCCAGGCTGCTGACTCACACACAGCCAGAGATAGCTCATGCGTCACCTCTGCACTGTTGAGACAAGCTCCAGGACAGAAGCTGTGGAGACGAGAGGACAGTGGGATCAACTCTGAATGGCTCCTCTCAATCCCCACCCACGAGTTCCGTCATCAGCACTTGTCCCTCGCTGGGGAGGCCACCAACGTGGGCCTCCTGATGGTGACCATGCAACAGCACACTGCAGTCTTCCAGCAGGGAGCATGTGATCCATGGACAAGGCCTCGTGTGAAGCAAAGACAGACAGATAGACTAGGGCCCCCTGAACCTCAGCACGTAGATGCTGGCTGGAACTGGGGAGCACTTCTTTTCCCAGGAAGTGATTTCTTGGGTCCTCTCCACCAGCTGGCATTCTGCTCCTCTCCTGAGCCTTTGCAGTGAGCTTGGCAGGAAGGGTAGGAAATAACTATCTGGCTCTCTTACTGAGGTGGGTGGACAAGTGAGAGGGTGGAAAGTTTATAGGAAATGAGAAAACTGCAAGGATCCATTGCTGGCCTGGGGAGGGTTTTTGTTTGGTTGGTTTTTGATTTGTTTGTTTGTTTTTCGGGTTTTTGATGGGCTTTTATTGGTGGTGGTGGTGGTGGTGGTGGTGGTGGTGGTGGTGGTGGTGGTATGTAGTGGTGGGTTTTAGTCCAGCAAATACTTGCTCTATTCCAGCACTGTCAGGTCCTGAACTAGCAGGATATTTGAAGTTTATCTCTGAGCTTGTGGAGACAGAGGGACAGACAGCAATGTGATCCCCTAAGAACGGAAGATACTGACTAGGCTGCAGAGATGGGTCAACAGTTAAGACCACTGGCTTCTCTTTCAGAGAACCCAGACTGTCTTCCCAGCACCCACATGGCATCTCACACCTTGTCTATAGCTCCAGTTCCAAGGCTTCTGACACCCTTACATGGACACACATGCACCAATGCACATAAAAATTTAACAAAAGAACAGGAGGTGCTACGGGTACCATCAGAGGGTGCCTGATGACAAGGAGCAGTCTGGTGTGAGGGTCAGATCCAGTCTGAGGCTGACTCCGGTAGAGAGACCTGTCAGAACACAAGGGAAAAACTACTTTGCTATTTTTGAGCCCAGATACCAAGCACTCAAGGCACTGGTGCATTTGGGAAAGGTGGCATGAGTCTGTCCAGTGGATTGGGGGGTAGGGAGTTCCAACTAGGGCCACAGAGGGAAGGCTAGCTCTGAGTTGCTCAACAGACTGGCTCCCTTCCCCTGAGGCCACCTGTGCTCTGTCCCTACCACTGCAGGCTAGCTGAGCACTTGAGAAGGACCCGGGCAGCCATCGTGTTCCAGAAGCAGTTCCGCATGCTGAAGGTCCGCCGAGCCTACCTCAGGGTGCACAGGGCTGTGGTAATCATCCAGTCCTTCACACGGGCCATGTTTGTGCGCAGGAACTACCTCCAGGTGAGCATCCGCCATGAGCATCTCATGTCACCTTCCAGCTCCCCTGCACCAGGGCCACTGCCTCTTTCTAATGAAATAACTATTAGGCTTCCCAAAACTTGAAGCTTCTTAGACTATGGTTCCTTTTGTCTTAGTGTTCCATTGCTGTGAAGAGACACCTTGACCAAAGCAACTCTTAAAAAGGAAAACATTTCACTGGGGCCGCCTTACAGTTTCAGAGGTTTAGTTCATAATTGTCGTGGTGAGAAACATGGTAGCATGTAGGCAAACATGGTGCTGGAGAAGCCAAGAGTTCTACATCTTGATCTTCAGAGAGCATAAAGAGGCTGCGTGCTCTGCTGGGCATAGCCTGAGCATATAAGAGGCCTCAAAGCCTGCCCCCACATGACATACTCCCTCTAACAAGACCACACCCCCTAATAGTGCCACTTCAAGCCAAGCATTCACACGAGTCTGTGGGGGCCGTTCCTATTCAAACCACACCTACCTGGTAAACAAGGATAGAAACCAGAGTTTGGCAGCCACTCCCTGAACACACGGTCTACAGAACCTAGCTAAAACTTCTGATCAAATCCTCAGATGTTATAGGCCACGTATGCTCGGTCTCCTAAACCCAAGGCCAGGCCAGCTTTCAAACCCCAGATAGTTAACAGAAGCTGTACCTCCATCCTTCAGAGCAAACCCACAGGCTGAGTGTGCTTGTCCTCATCAGGTCCTCAAGGAGCACAAAGCTACCATCATCCAGAAATATGCCCGGGGCTGGATGGCACGGAGCCGTTTTCATCGGCAGCGGGATGCAGCCATTGTCATCCAGTGTGCCTTCCGGAGGCTCAAGGCCAGGCAGGAGCTGAAGGCCCTCAAGATCGAGGCCCGTTCAGCAGAGCATCTCAAACGCCTCAACGTGGGGATGGAGAACAAAGTGGTCCAGCTCCAGCGGAAGATTGATGACCAGGTCAGTGGTAGGTTTCCTACACAGCTGTTGAAGCTTGTGGGATACTGAGACATGCTTGAGAAGGACCCCAAGCTTTCTCAGGGAGTTGCAGATACCAGAGGCCTCCAGGGGCATTGCCCAGGCAGCAAGAACAGTTACTGAATGTAATACACAGAATAGTGTCACTCCTCGACAAAGATACCAGACCGTAATCTTCAGGATCTGTAAATGTGGTCCCTTACACACCAAAAGAAACTCTGCAAGAGTAAGTTAGGGGTGTCTGGATAGGAAGATAGCCTTGGGCTGTCCAGGTGGACCCCATGGGGTCATAGCACGCTCTTGAGAGAAAGCTGAAGACAGGATCAAGTAACAGGATACAGATCCTGTCTCCAGTATTCAAGCCACCTTTAGGAACTACAGATAACAATGGGAGATTCTCCCCTGGAGTCTATAAACAACCACAGTCCTTCTGGCCTCCCTTAAAAGTCCCTTTCAGAGCTGCAAAATAGTAGCTAGCATTGTTCTGAGCCACCAATTTCATGATTCTTCTTAATGGGGCAATAAGAATAAGGGTCCTGTGGCCCTGCCCCTCCAGAGGCAGCACGGTATAGCTACAGCAAGGGCCGGTGCTTAATGAGGCTTCCTGTGTGCCCTCATTGTGTTTCACTCTATGTTTATGACAGTCCCCATGAGGTAAATGTTGGCATCCTGTCTGGTATGACATTGGTATTACATTGTTTAAGCTTTTACCTCTGTCTGCACTGTTACCTTCACACATCACCCACCTGGATGAGCAGTGTGTCAATGCTGAAGCCCGCTGTGGGTGGAGTTCTGTGAAAGGATCTGAGGCAAGCATAGGATACTGGCTTCTTTGGGGTCATGTAGACTCTGGTAGAGTACAAGTTGGAAATAGGTTCACATCAGTCAGGTGGTCCATGTATCTGCTGCTCCATACCCCAGAAGACCTTTGTTTGGTGCTGGACTATGTCAGATATTCTGTTAGGTTCCAGGTAGGAGAGACCATGGCCCAGGTTGTATGCTATATTACAGAAATAAATATTGGTACGGGGAGATTTTTTGAAGCTTCTCATAACCTCAGAGCAGGAAAATAGACAAGTCATTTTGGTTTTGATTTTTTTAAAAGCTATTCTCATATGGTCCAGACTTGTCTGCAGTTCAATTTATACCACTGTGATTTTTTTGAGTATCCCAAAGCCCGCGGTGGGTGGTTTATGTTCACACACGTGTGATCCATACAGTAGATGATCCTCACGTGACTTTGTGAATCATTTTGAAGGATGACGGGCTGGAGTTATCAAATATCTTGGCAAAGCCACAGAGGTATAAAGTGTTAAAATCTGAATTGCGCCCCAGGTTTCATCATACAGCTAGCATAAAGATGGTGCTGGCTTCTTAGTCTCAAATGTCACCAAAGAGCTGGTCCTGTTCTGTGTGCTGTTACTACTGAGCTGGGCTCCCAGAGAGGAGAGGAGACCCACTGCAACAGGACTGATAGTAAAAAGTGAGCACGGGACCCTTCCCAAAAACCAAGGAGAGAAAGGATAAAGACATACATGGCGTGGATGTGAGGAAAAGAAAAATCTGGGAGTTGGGGATCGGCATGGCAGAGGGGGACTGGCCATGGCAGAGGGGGACTGGCCATGGCAGAGGGGGAC